ACAAATTCAAGAGACCTCGGGGGCAGCAGGAAGAGAAAGCAAACACAGCAGATGCTATCTGCTTGCCAGAGAGCCGTGCTCTAATGCTCCCTGGCTTCTGGTCTGAGCCATTGCAGGCACATGGCTGCATTTCCTGAATGTCTGCACGCTTCTGTTTCAATTTAATCTCTGCAGTTTAGACTTACCTGCAAAAACTGAATCAATTCAACCTTGGGCTTTTTGACTGTCTGTACTTAGCCTTAATGTCTAGTTCTAGCCAGACCAATATATTCAAAATATTCTGAGTAGCTTCCCAAAGTGACTCCAAAGACACGTCAATAGTAAAAACCCTCATGCTTTCCAGCATTCAGATTTTGAACAGATATAATAAACCTAGAGCAGTGCAAAGACAAATGGAAAAAAAGTAAGCATATGTCACACCAAAGGGTGTGAAAAAGAAATTTGTCAAAAGCCAGTGCAAAGAAGCACTACATGAAATTGGAGGTGTTTGATTATTAATGTCGGATGAATTGTAAACGTAGCGGAACTGCAAATAATTGTGTTATTAGAAGGCAGATTGGATCTCCCAACTGTTTCTAACTTTCTCGTAAATTTTCCAAGAGTGGCTTCAGGTGCCTCTGCTTAGTTTTGAATGATGCTGCCGTGTATTGTTGGACATCTGCCACCCTCCAAATGCCACTATATTGCAGTAGTTAGCAATGTGGTCTCTGTGTGTACATGTATGGCATGTGGGTCAAATCCAGCTCATACAGCCATGTGTCCTGGCCTGCTGGGCTCCTAGACAGGCCAGAAATTCAGGGGTGGACAGGCAAGGTTGGGACCTGTCACTAAAATCTAGCATGTTGAGGGGAGGAGTAGGGGAAGGGAGGGAAAGCAACAGATTAGTTAATAACCCCTACAGTCACTACTGCTGCTTGCCCAGCATCAGCTGTTACATCCATATGGCTGGCAAGAAGTCCTGCAGTCTGGATCCAGTCTGCAGGGCTGGGTGAATTGGACACCTCTACATTTAGATAATTAGGCTAGTTCTTCATAGACAGCATGTTCACATAATAAAATGTTATCACCAGAGATCCATCCAACTGGTAGTAGGAGCAGATATTCACATACTGAATGAGCCTGCAGCATAACTTACATTCTTCTTCAGAGAACCAGTTCCTCTGGGCCCAGGACACAGCAAAGATGTAGAGTGGGAGAAGCTTTTAATGCTGTGATCATGCTGTAGTTGCTTTGTTGATAATGAGAATTTGAGACTCTAGGGCTCTCTTTCAAGCCCTTTTCAGAACTGAATTTTAAAAATCTCATATACCAATTTATGATAAAAAATAATCCAAATTTGTGGTACAGCCAGAGCAGAACACCCCGGCCACTAGTCAGAATGCCACTCATTAAAATTCCAGGCATTCATGATGTAGTGCATTTGAAGCAACACTAAAGAATTTTAATGGCATATGAATTTATATGTGATTGCATTATTAGGGCCAAATCCTGCCCTCACATACGTCGGTGCATCTTCAGTGACTTCCAGGGTTACTGAAGTACCTGAGAGTAGCTTTATACTGCTTCTTTGGCACTCTTGAAAGCACAGCCTTACTCACCAGATCTCATACTACACTTGCCAAACCTAGAAATGAGGAATGATGCCATACTGCTGTCTTTCCCCCCCGCCCACATATGGAACAAGAACAGGAGGGCAGGCTCATATTCCCTCTAAGGTGTCAAGGAAGTGGTATAGACACACTCTGCGTCACCTCCCAGTTGTACTGCTTTTTCCACAAGGTAACTCTATTAACTTAAATTGATTTACTGCTGACTTGTACCTGGATGATAGGAAAACCAGGCACAAAGTCTTCTGACAGCTGAGGCTAATTTTTTCCAGCCTGCACCAATGGTAGCTGTATCTTGGATTCATGTTAGCATACTTGGAAGAAGAATCTGGACCTGGTTCTGAGCTCCATTACACCAGCATAAATTGGATTAACTCCAAAGCTATATAATGGGTGTGTCTACATGTGAATATTAATGTAACAAACTCCAGCACAGTTTGTACCAGATTTTATTGTTCCTGGGTGTCACATTTACATGTGCGCCTTGGACCGCAACATGTTGTAGCCCCGGCTGGTAGGGAGCCTGGGGGATCTGCCTGCCAGCTCAGGGCTGCTCCTACCTAATTTCATGTGCTGCTGAGGGACTGGCTGGAGCATGAATATGCTACGGTGCAGGGCTAGCTGGCAGGCAGCCCCACTGTAGCACCCTCATCCGTCAGCCAACACCCGGTCTACAAGTGCATCACGGTGCAGTAAATAACTCTGCCATAGAATAGTACTTGTGGTGGGCAGTACTAACTTACGATGCAGTGAATTATTTTACTCCGGCCAAATAGCACTGCTCATGTAGACGGTGATGCTTTATTGTGGAGCTAATTAGGTATCTCTGCAGTAACCATCTCATGTAGATGCACCCAGAGAGGAACATTAGGACCTTGGCAGGTACATTCTTTGGCAAAAGGAAGACATTCTTGAAACAATGATGTCTTATACAACACTTACTTAAAAATGTTATCTCAAATTGTATCATGGGACCTTTTTTAAATCCCTTCATTAATGATGATTATGTAAGCATCATTACAGATGCTAGACACTTCTACATTCCTAACAGGAGTTGTGATTTATTTCTGTTACAATTTACTCTGCCATTTCTTTAATCATTCCTGACATTTTACCTATCGTTTTGTGAAATATGGCTGTGCGCCACACTGAAAACCAGATGTAAGTTATTTTTTAAGCCATCAAAATATGATTGCAAAGTTAATGTTAATTAAGCTAAATGTTTTACGTGGAAAAACGTAAAAAAATCACTGACAGCTTATGAAAGAAATTACTGAAAAAACCCCATTTTATTTAGAGACAACTGAATTTCAGCTCTTCCTTTCTGAAGCACTTTACAACTAGTAACTAATCAATCTTTCCAATGTTCCTGTGAAGTAGATGAATATTGTTATTCTCTTTTTAAGGCAGCACCATCCCTTCATTGGGTATGGAGGGCCCTGATTGTAGTTGAGGTAGGTACACAGTGCATGGGCCATGTTTCCTGGAGCTATCATAAGGACTGAGGAGCATGCTTGCTTCAAGCCACCAGGCACCTTGGGGGGTAGGGGGAGAACAGATTCAACTAGTCACATTTCCTTTCCAAAGGGGAGACGGGCTACTGTTTTAATATTTGGACCGAGTGTTCCTGACAGCAGGATTTGAACTAGATGAGGGCTAGTGACAGAGGGGCTAGCATCTCGCAGTCCTGCTTCTCATTCCTTATTTATTTCTTTTGGACATCAGAAGCTGTCATCACACTAACTTCCATAGAAATCATCACATTCATCACATAGCTGCACACTCAGGAAATGTGCCTTCAAATGACAAAGAAGTCATAGAAGGAGATAAACTCTTATGGCTGTCTTTAGTGAGAGCTTTGCCTGAGCAAATTAAAACAAAAGAACTGATCTCTTAAATAGCAAAGATTCTTTCATGCAAATAATCCCTATTAAAATGAATGTTCCTGATTCTGCCCATATTGAAGGCAGTGTTAAATCTCTTAATTCCAGCAAGAAGAGGACTACTGTTTCTCTCCCTCCCCCCCTGCCGCCCCCGCCCCCAGTGAAGAAGTTAATTTGGAAACTATAGATAAAGAATGGTTTTTAAAATGCCACATTTTTCAGATTGTCATTGTGGTGTCAGTGGGTTCTTAAATAAATAAAGGATCTTACCAGTCTCTGTCAAACAATGTCTAAGGTTTGGAAAGCTTTAACTTTCAAGATGCACACAATCTATTCTAGCATAATTTTGGTGTCTAATTACCATTGTTCCATAAAGAAATATTCATCTTTGTCAAGCTAATTGGTCAAATGCAGCATAAATAACGAAGTCTAAGTGCCAATACTTAGCTTCTACATAAAATATTCAAAGCTTTACAGGGAGAAAAATAATGTTTAGTAAGTGAGGATGCATAAAGCCTGCAGGACTCGTTACACAAAGGAGTTTGTTATCTGAGTCCTGGAGCTTGGTTTCCAGGGGTAAATCAATCTCTGCAGATTCAAATACTTCGCAGGGTGTACATCTACATGAGACATTAGCTCCTCTGTAAAACACTGCCGTCTACACATGTGGTGCTATTAGAACAGAGTAAACCACTTAAGTCTGCCACAGGACAGTATTTGTAAATGCAACTACCATCTTTCAGCAGAGCAATGCATGTGTAGATGCTGACAGGGCTGGCTGGGGCACAAGGGTGTTTCAGTACGAGGACGCTTCAGTGCCCCTGCCAGCCCTACCTTTGTGCCCCAGCCAGCCCCTCCACAGAAAGCTGAGCCAGGTCAGAGTAGCTCCAGTCTGTCAGGCTGACCCCCAGGTCTGCTGCCAGCTGAGGCTGCTCTGACCTGACTCAACGTGCTGCAGTCCTGGGTGCATGTGTAAACGTGGCACCCAAGAGCAATACATTCCGGCATGATAAGCACCAGATCTTATTGCTTCACTGTAATAGCACATGTAGACGTGCCCAGGGTCAAGTTTCCTTACCTGGCTCTGCCAAATAGCCCACACGTAGCAAATTCTCTGACTCTCAAAAGACCTCTAAAGTAGATGCTTTTTCACTGGGACTTATTTGAGGCTGTTTGATTTAAGTCTGGGTGGAAGAAGAATGACCCATTTTGCTTTCAAACACTTCACACAATCTTAATGCACATTCAGGGAATTTCAGAGGTTTACCTATGGCCTGGACCTAAAACCTACCATTGGTCTTGAATGGTGTGGGTAAATGGAAATATTTCTTACAGCTCTGATGCTAAGACTCCCTGTGAAGAATCAATCTCCTTCTATGTAGCAATAACAGTAACTTACTATGCTAATGCATATTAAATTGGGAAATAAAGAAAATGTTTGTTATAAACATTGCATTTAAAACAATGATTGGTGCTTTATGGTACTGCTAATAAGATTATGGAACGGCAATCTGTACATAGGAGTTTATTTTGATGCCCACAAGTTTTAAATCATTACTTTTTATATCCCAGCCCACTGGATGTCTCCTCCAATTGAATTACCATTGGGTTTTACAATGTGATTTACAAAATGAGCTGACAGTATGATTTACAAAGTATCATATAAAACACAACTGTTTCCCTTATAATACAATCATTAAAACAATGCATGGAAAGCTGAAAATGACCAGACATTAGAAAAGAAATCTATGTTTAGGCTGGAACCCAGTTATGAACAAGTCTTTTAAGCAAAATTATCAATACTAACAATGAATGCAGGACAAACTTGCCTAAATGATCGCAAGTCTTTTTTTTACAGTGTTTTGCAACTCCTCTTTAGGAGAAACATGAAAGTACATTATTTAAGAGAAAAATCTAATATTCTTCCATTTCATACAGTCACACATCATTCTTAAAATAAATTTCACATTTTCTGGAAGAAGCTATGAAAAACCACAAATGTATACTTTTCCAAAGTGTAGCCACTATACTTATAGCTGCAATCTTTTTCCAAACACCCATTATGTCTTTAATTAAGAAAAAAGAACAAAAAGGGCAGAAAACACTACACAAATGAACAGAACAGACTACAACAGCACATTAAAAATGTGGTATTTGAGCCATAGATGCCATCGTCCTGGGAACAGATGTTTTGTTCCAGTGCTACAAACTTTCTAGCCTCATGAAAAAAGTAGTTGCACCTACCTTGGAGAGAATCCAAAATCTAACCTTTTGTGTAGGGTTAGAAGTTTTAATTAGGATTTTTGCCTAGGTTTGGGGGTTTTAGACAACATTATGTACATGGCTAACTTAATAAATTAGGTCCTTTTGAATGTCAGAACAGTACAAAGAGGGGACAAATTGTTTTGAATGTCTTACACATAATCAAAATGATAGAACAGAATGCCACTAACCTGTAAGGGCTAAGGCAGTGTATGCTGTCATCTCTACAATAGTACAGATGGTTCTGAACTTTTTTATTATGAAAAAAGTAATTGTGAATGGCAGTTTTATTATTAAAATAACTACACCAGGAAAGATTTTGAGCTCACCTACATTAATGTAACTGAGTGCAAAATCTGGCCCACTCAGGTCAAAATATACAAGCTTAAAGCTGTTTGACTGCTTTATTTTCTATCACACAATCCAGATGAATTACACCCACATCCAGTATATGTAGTTTCACTTGCAAATTAGAACACCGATGTCAATAAGTGGCATTGTTTCCTTGATATGTATTGAAAGGGTGCTGAATATGTGTCTCAATTCAAATCTGCTGCTAGTTCATATGATTGGAAAAGAAAGTGCTTTTTGCCACTTCATTTAGCTTGTGGCATTCATTTTTTTCGAAGACAGACTTAGGTTTGATTACTTCCAGCCTGTACAAGTCAAATGTACCTCGGAATGTTTTAAAAGGTTTGACAACTCTGAAATATAATTTGACTGTACATACATACATATTTTCATAAATACATCTGACAGGGACCTCAGAATTAAGTATGCGGTGTTATGGGACAGAATCACAATAGGCAGCTTTATTTGTGGAATCTAGATCCAAAGTAAAATGAACTGAGTTTTGATCATATTGTCAGTACACAAATTAAACAAAAAAAAAATATACAATTAGTTTACTCAAGAAATAAACATATTTGCAAATAATCTGACAGGAAGAAGTGTGTTATTTACAACACTGAAAGCTTTTAACAACCATAGACTTATTAATGTGTTGTACTGTAAAGTCACCCAGACAAGGCTAGCAAGAATGAGCATAGTGGTAGGTCCCAAAGGCAACTCCCAAACATCTTCCTCATGCGGAGACTTTGGTAATTGTCTGTTGTATAAAACACCAACTCATATAACTTCATTTCAGATGTTAACTGTACCAGTTTTCCTTACATAGAAGAGTTCGACTGTATTACTTCAGTTATTGTGAAGACATTCTAAATCCACAGAACAGCAGACATTCCCGTTCTGTACAAACAAACAAACGAATATTAGTGCTCGTCATAGAACAAGTGAAAAACAGAGAGAACAAAGGGCCATAAGACTTGGAGACAGAAATCCTTTTTGCTGCTATGGGAAATGAATAAACCTGTGAGATTCTGGTAGAGGTAGGGTGTTGTTGATCCCTACTACTGAATTTCTCTTGGCTGTTGGCTACCTGATAATGCACAAGCCTTTGTTACATCTGCTATACAGCTCATGCAGTGTCTTCTTTTTTCTCAGATGTGAGGAAGGGTACTTTGTATCCAAGAGCTTGTCTATATCCTTCCCAGCTATACAGCTGGTCAAATACAAGAGGTCATCCACAAAAATCCTTGCCTCTCTTGTGATTTTGGCTATTCTACTTTGGAAGAATTAGGTTTAAATAGAAGCTAATTCAGGTTCCAGGCCTATTTGGTTCTTGCTGTGATTTTCAAACATGTTGATTGTGGTGCAAAACTCTAGAACTCTTGGTTCAGAGATGGTACCTTTTATTAGACCAACTAACAAATTGCAAAAAAAAAAAATCTTTTTGCATTGCTTTTTGTCTCAGACCAACACGGCTACCAAATACATTGACTGTGATGGTGTTTTTACGATCTGACCATTCCTTTAACAGGTAAGAATTAAACTCACTGACTCATTTATCATGGTGTCAACTGCTGTGAGTCACAATTAAGCGTCACAATTCACCTGAATTGCATTTAAATCAGAAACTTAAGTGTGAAATCCCATTACAAAACTGTACCATTTTATTAATATAAAATGTAAAAAATAGTGAAGCTGCTACATTTAACTTTGCAGTGATATTCTGTACAGAGGCTTTTAGTCTGTTTGAACATATGCAGGTGTGCATACTCTCATATCACAGGTAAGAACTGTGATAGCAGTTCCAACTCTTTTGTCAATAGGTAAGTCTGTGACGGTCAAATGCACGGGAATCTTACAAATTAAAAACAAAAAAAATCTAGCCCTTAAGGGAAGTTCCGCAAAAAAGGCCAGCAAAGAAAATCACAATGAATTAAAGCCCAGAATCAGACCATAATGCAGTAAAAGCTGTGTTAACCAGCATTTTACTAACTGGAATACTCTGTTAACTGGATTTCCAATATTCCTCAATACAGATCTTCACTTTAGCAACCAGAATCTTTGCTGAGTCTGCCTGGCACGTGCATCAAGTATTTCTGTTGGTTACCTTAATTAGTGATGCTGCAGGGGAAAGGACGGAGGGAGGGGAAAGGGATCTGCACAGGGCAGGGCGGGCTGCTGCTGCAGGGTGGGGCAGGTATAACTCTCAGATAACCAGAATTTTCAGATAACTGGCACCCCCATTACCCCACTCATGCCAGATAACAAAGCTTTTACTCTACCTTTTCTCTAGTATTACACAGGAGACAAAAAACTTCATACAGCATTTTATATGATACAGACACTGTTTCATAAGACTATATTTAGTTCTTTCACTGAGCAAGGAATAAATAAAATGGAACAGTTCTCTATCTATGAATGATACAAAGGACAGGCAACCAGAATTTGAATTCAACACTGGGTGCATCTACACGTTCATTAATATGCTTTTACCACTGCACATTAAATTTAGAACCTCTAATGTGAGGTAATAATAAATCTGTATTAGGCTACCCTAATGCACAGTAGCAAAAGTGCATGCTTTTTAGTGACACGTAATGTGCTATATAGCCTTATTTTACTGCGCATTAGGATATTAGTACGGTTTTTGATGTGACACTCTAATGTGATATAAAATAGGCTACTACAGATTAAAGCACATGTGTAGAAGTGCCCAGTATTAAGAAGTTATATTCTAATAGTAGTAAAATGACTTTATTTAGGGTTTGTTTAGTCCTCATTTTTATTTAAAAAAAAGGGTTTCTTAGGTAGCACTGAACAAAAATAAATCTTTTTGTAAGAAATGTACATTTGCTTCAAGTCTAAGGTTATGCCTATATTTTTAAAAAGTGAGACTAGTATTTGACCTGTGTGTTTATATATGCCTGTGTGATGCTGTCATTTTGTGAACTGTCCATCTATATACAATTCCAAAATTCCAGTATAAAACTTATTTGGGATTTTGGAATTGAAGAACTCTGGTTTTCATTTCAGTCCACCAGATAGGTGAAATTTATTTATCAATTATGACATGTCTGTTATTTGCAACACATTAATTATGAATGCAGTTTATTCAGTCATGCTCTTCCACATACAGGGCTCATTCCAAACTATGTTGAAATCAATGAAAAGACTCACATGGGCTTTGATGAGCCCAGGTCAAATCTGTATTGCTTAGAAATAGTATCATTCTACGTTGATTTTTCAAATATGATGGTTGCACTTACACCATCATGTGCAAAATCAGGCTGGAAATCTGAAAAAAGACACACTTCTGCTTACTTTCCAATATTTCCTGTTTTACTGAACACACTGGCAAAAGCCAGGCAGTGCAAAGAAAGAAAGAAGCACAAAGGAGTATAAACTTATGGCAACATGAATGGAGCTGCCACAAGAGAAGGAGTTAACAGAATGTTCCTGGAAGAAATCACCCTGTATTTAAAATTATCCTCTAATTACTAAAATACCATAAGCTGGGGCAGGTTTATTTCAGCTCAAGGGGTTGTCATGGAGTGGCACTGTTTTGGGGTGGGGTTTTCCTAGAATGTCCCTTTCATGCATTCAGGGTTAAGTTAATATATTTGATGCATCACTGGCATGATTTCCTACTGGTTTACTTTTTGTGTCATCATTTACCCCTGCAAACCCAAGGTATAAGTTGTGGGGCTGTGTAAAACAGCACCATTTCGTTTCAACTTCCATTTCACCATTTTGATAGGACAGTGTTTTGTTTCGAGTTTCATTTCATTTTGAAACCACTGTTCCATTTCCTTTCATTGAAACTGCTTCTCTGTTTCAACACTGTTTCAATGTGTCACCTATAGGCCATAATGGGGAAGCACAAAACTGCCTGTAACATGTCATTTCCTGCCTGATTCAGATGAAACTTCCAGGGTTGGTAGCCCCTTCTGAGGCCACAAAGCCTGCCAAGTTTTAAGAAGATAGGTACAGGGATTTCTGGGAAACTGCACCTCAAATTCTTGAAAGCATAACTTGTGTGTGTGTTAAGCCAGCGGGGTGAAAACTGCAGGCATGCTAGCCCCTGCTGAAGCCACGAAACCTGCCAAGTCTCAAGGAGATAGGTGTAGGGGGGTTGGGCTTCTGGGACCCTGCACCTTAGGCTGTTGATGGACAAAACTCATGACATGGGTGACTGTGTGACTGACTGTGTCTGTGTTAGGGCACGGGGGGGGTGAAAACTGCAGGGATAGTAACCCCTGCTGAGGCCATGAAGCCTGCCAGCTTTCAGGGAGATAGATGCAGGGGTTTCTGGGAAAGTGCACCTCAAGCTGCTGACAAGCAAAAGTCATGACGTGTGACTGTGTGTGTGTTAAGCCGCGCCCTCACCGGAACTGGGGCCTTTACATGACATGGTAGTGTGCCTCAATGAGGTCTACTCCTCCCCTACAGCCTCAATCCGGTCCACCACTTTAAATGACAACAGGTAATAACTTAGTAAGCAGCACAGTAGCACCACCAGCATTTCAGGCAGCCAAACAGTCACAGTCAATATCAGAGCAGTCTTTCCCGCATCTTCCCCCTCCCTCTCCTTACTGTTTCCCTGCAGGCAGCTTCGAAACATCTCAAAACTTTTGAAGCATTTTGACTGACCTTGTTCTGTTTCGAGGCTGTTTCGAAGCCCTTCGTTTCATTTCAGTTTCACTGTTCTGAGCTTGAAATGAGTCGAAACAGCGTTGACAGAAGACAGCTGGTGAAATTTGCCCAGCCCTAATAAACTACACTCCTCCACGTCATCTCTGAATTTGGCTCACAGTGATTCTGTTTCTAGTGCTCCTCTCAAACATTTGTTTTGAAGAATGAACAAGCCTAATTTTCAAACCCTCATGTATCATGCAATTTTTGTTGTTGTATTTGTCTCTACTAAACAGTTATTATTGCTTTAAAAGTACATTTTAATAAACTTCTGGAATATTCAGCCATTATTAAAATGCTATCCTAGTTCCATATAAAGAATTCCTCCAGGGCTTTCAAACAGAATAGTTTAAAGTTGCAGAAGTATGTTAAATATCTGTACTCATATTTCCAAGAAAATAATTATAGAATTACCATGTTTTTGTTTCCACTCTGCAAACCATAAATTGTACATGTTATACCGTAGGCTACATTATCTGCCCTTGGATCTCATTTATTTCAATGCAAGTTGCATGAGAACTTCCAGAGCTAAAATATTACCCTGCATTTATAATATAGTACAGATTTCCATCACTATAATATAGTCACAGTACCTTGCATTTGCAGGTGGTACAAGGAGATCCAACCATAGTCCACATAGAGCCACTGAGCCTTGTGATCCCATAGCCATCTAAACAGGTTTTTTGGATGTCGTAAGTGATGTTATCAGCTAGACAAGGGTCACTGACACAGTGGGGGCAACATTCTCCTTCTGAAATAGCTGTGTATTCACAGTTTGGATTTGGGCATAAAAGGGGCCAACAATCCACTTCCCCCTCCTGTAGAAAGAGAAATAAGGTGCATGGATATTCCTTACAAATCACTTGATAATGAGAAACAATAAAACCTATAGCCTGTGAGAGCATATTTGTGCAGCAAGCTGCAATTGGTCTAACATGTTAGCATTATACATATATTCAGCTAGTCAGAGCACAACATCATTGGGCACTGTTTCCTATAGAGCACAATATCATTTTGTTTTTTCTTGATGTAACAAACAATTCTGTTCTTTATCATGACAGGAATGCCTAAATTAAAAAATAAATAAATTGGTGAGTTGTGGCTTCATACAGACATTTGAATAATCTGGGAGAATTGTCCTAAGTATGTTTTCCTGGTAGAAAAATTTACCCAGAACTGTGTGTACAGACCTGTGAGTGCTGAGGTGCTAAAGAATGGAGAGCTTAAAATGCTGACACTGTGCAGCTGGATGGGGTCTTATGTACACATCTCAGCATGCTCTGCAGGCTTCATTGGACTGTCTGGCAAAGGATAGCTGCAGTGCATATGGCTGATCCTGGGGATGGGGCAGAGGGAAAGTTGGGTCATAGAACCTGAGATCACCCCGTGCCTGACCCCCATACCCAGCAGAAGGTTTGGATTGGATACGGAGTAGCCCTGGGTCTAGAACACAAGCCACATGCTCAATTTAAGGCATGAATCAAATCAGCCACAACAATGTTTTACATGAAATGTCGAACATCTTTATGGCTGGTTTGCTGTTATATCATTTACTGACTATGACACTTTACAGTTTATGGCACAATTAACATGTTAAAAGCTTTAAGTTGCATTACGGGTTAAAGAAAGCATTTACTTATCTCCATAAATACACTATTTAAGACATACTAAGAAAGCAGGAAGTACTTATCACCTGATGGCTGGCTCCATGTAAAAGGGGTAGGGATCATACACCTGTTCCTAAATGTGGCAATCTCTGCAACTCAAGGGCCATGATACTTCAGCAGGCATTAGCTGAAGTGCAGCTTATTCCACCATGTCTTATAATACCTGACATGCTTTTTCCTGTATATGCTCCCTACTGAAAGCAGCTGGAAAATATCCACATATATAGACTTTATACCACTCAGACTTTATACCACTCTTACTGGCCTCTTAGGGCATTTTTCCTTTGTGTTGCTTCAGACTGATAAGTATTGGGGTCCAAATGCTAATGGGCCATGCATAATTTTTTAAAAAGGTCCTTATTTTTTAAATTAAAATCAATTTTTCACCCCAAGCGAAAATAGGCACCTGATAAAGCTGTGTCCATAACACATCATCAATTTTGGTCATAGTCAAGTACCTAGAAAATATATTTCTCCCTATCCCATAATGCTAAATAACCAAAATAAAAACAAATTAAGTAAAACATACTTTAGGCTTGATCCTCTCTTAAACAGATAGTGAATCATAATGTGTTTAATTCCATTAAGGCTGTGCATACCCTATACAGAATGAAGAAAAAAATTAGGAAGTAGGGTAAAAACTCAGGCTGTATTTGTGCAGTTCTTAGCACTAAAAAATGGAAGTGAAACGGATTCTGAGTCCAAATCCCAGAAACATCATTGACTTAGCTTATCACCTTAAATCACCTAGCCCATTCATGTCTCAGTTAGCTGAGCTACGAACTCAGGTGAGACACAAAATATCTTTTGGAAATATACTGAACTTGAGTACTCCTGTGAATATTCCATTTAAGTATATGTGAATATCTTACAATTTAACTGAAAATCTTTGCCCCTTTTATTTTTTATGCAATTATATAAGAATCAGAAAAAGTAAACTCAAAACAACATTAAATTGAAGAGTCATATGCGTACTTACAAAGTACAGGATAATGTTATGTATTCTGTGAGTCCCCAAGCCTCAGGGAAGTCAGTATCAATATTATATATGTGCCAATTAGGGCTTTTTTTCAGGGGGGAACTCCCGTTTTCCTTGATTTGCTTTTAATTAAAATTGCTGTTTTACTAATTGGGATCTCTCCCCATAAAAGAAAACTGAGGAAAAATGGAGAATATAATAATAAATAGATCATGACCCCAGGTTCCCCCTGCGCTGGCAATAAGGTGTAATGGGCTCTGATCCTCGAACTCACAATCAAGCCTCCTGCCATGCATGTATGGCATGGAAGGCAGCACAGTTGTGGGGGTCATATATCAGATTCCATGGCACCTTTACTTGCGCATCTGCCAGGGTAACAATAATAATAATAATAATAAACAACAAGAACTAGCAACTGAGAATAAAAACGCTACTTGTTTTTTTGTTATTCCTTCTATGTTTGCTTGGTATTTTAGATTTTCTTTATCATGTTGGCCTTCGGTTTCCTAGCTGTTTGCTTTTTCAAGGCGTATTGGACTTTGTTTTGGATTCCTGAATTTCCAGTTTTGATAGGAAAGATTAGTCATATTGTGGGATTTGTATTTTAAAGAAAAAAATTGGTTTTTAAAAGTTAATATTTTGAAAATAACATAATTGATAAAAACTCTGCAAGGAATGTTGATAAATAAAATATCAATGCAATGAACAAAATTAAAATTGTTTCAAAGGTTTCAAAATAACTATGAAATTTTGTTGACCTCCTCTACTTAAACAGAGCTGAGAAGGGAGTTGTAAGATAATCTATTACCTTGCTTCTGCCTCATGATTTTAGGGCTTTTAACATCTTTTAAATAATAATCTAAGTAAAAGGGCATTGAAGAAAGAATTAGCAACCTCCTATTTTAAAACATGCCTTGCTATAAATCCAAATCTTTATCATGTTGGCTTCTCTTGAAAACAGTTTATTTTCATACCAGACAACGACATTGCTGACAGCTGTATGTCCAGTTGTCCCCACTATGATACAGCTTATGTCCATTTTGGTCTAAACATTGACTGGTCACTCTGGTGTCACATTCTGGGCAGCAAAAGAGATCAACGCTGGGGTTCTGGCAATCACAAGCTGTTCGCCGGCAGAAAATCTTCCCATCCTGTTGAGAGCAAATTTTCATTGGTATTAAGCATATGCTACTAAATAGCAAGTTACTTCAGCTGAACAGACACAGTGATAATGGTGTACAATAAGCACACAGGTAGCCCAGGGAAGACCAGGGACAAGCCCTATAAGATATAAACTTCCTTGGTGCCTGGCGAAATGGACAGGGAGCTATGTTGCTATGCCTTTGTCATGTCATTATAAAAATCACCTTTCAATGCTAGTGAACATTTATCTTCTACCTGTTTTCTGTTGAAATGGCACTGTGTCCCTCTTTTTCCATGCCCCTAGATATAAAATAACCAGTGTCTCTAGTTCAAATGGAGTAAGGCAATTTCACATCTCATCAATTATATGACCAAAAATCTCCAAGTAGTCACCTCTTTCTTTAGTATGTATCAGAACAATAATTTTCTGCACACTTTATTTTCAATAACTGTGTGATTATCAAGAAAATCACTTTCAATAAATCAAAATTTAGCATGTAGTGCCATTAATTTAATAGGAACCTATAACATTAAAAACAGAGAAAGTCACTGCTATCTAAGGAACCTCATATAACAACATCAAGGTAGCATTCTAGTTTCCTTGTATACTAACATCTAGGTAGCATTTATCTCTTGTTATAGTCTACATTTGATATTTGAGTTCATCAGATAAAAACTACTTAGTCACAATGTATCATCATGCAAAATAATCTTGAATTAATGATATATTTTTATTCACAGATTCCTTGAGCTTTAGTTTTCTCACCAGAAGTGTTAAAAATTTACCACCAGTGGCTACGTACAGACAGTCAAAAAGCCCAAGGCTCAGTCAATTCAATCTTCACAGGTTAGTCTAAGTTACATAGACTGAACTGATAAGCAAGTGAAAAGACATTCACTTTTGATACTGGAAATGCAGCCACATGCCTGCAGTGACTCAAGCCAGAAGCAAGGGTGGGGGGGTACAGCACTTAGGGAACTAGGGTTCCTAACTCTTTTGAATCTATTCTGGGGGTTTCCAGAATGCCAACATGCCCATGATACACGATGTGAATGTGCCCATGTGCTTGCGTACATCAGTTATGGATTACGGTGTGTAGACTTTACATCCGGAAGGCAAATGCACACTACTATTATATTTTAAAAACCCACTGGACTACTGTATAAAGTGGATTCATCATTTAATATGTATTTTAATGAATGCCGTATCATTGATCTCCCGGGTGACTCTCAGCAGTCTCCTGGAGATTTATATCTAATTCCTGGAGACTCCAGGGCAATCCTGAAGGGTTGACAACCCTAGCTGGAGCAGACAGCTTGGGCCAAGGGTGGCCCACTCACCCTGGATGGTGGTGGGGGAGGTTCCGGGGAGGTACAAAGCATCCTGGGATGCTGGAGTTAACTTGAATCTGGAGGGAATCTGGGACAGAAGTTCAATAAACCAATTTAGCCTAAATCAGTTAAATCTGATACTCCATCCATCCAGGTTTATCTTAAATCAGTTTTGGCCATTTAGAAAGCAGTTTATATGCACTGAACTTCTGTTGTGTTCAGATTTAAACTGGTTTCCTATCCCTTATACTGGTTTATGTGTAATTTCTGTTCCTAGCCAGTACAGAACTTGGTACTCAGTTAAAACAGTTAATCAGAATGGTCATGGCTAAACATAGAAATTGCATCTGCATGTAAAAAAGGAAGGATATATTCAGCTGGTACAAAAGGAATAAGTGAATTTATTCCAAATCTTATGATGAAAATTATGGAGATTATTGTGTTATAAATTATACCCTTTCTGATAGGTCAGGCAACCCACTGCTATTGCACATGCAGACGAGGCAACCAAAATCACAGTTTATAATGAGTTACTGAAAAGGGTTTTTATTATTATTTTGGCTTAAGTTTTTAGATGTTATCATCATTTACTGGTTTCACACTTACTCTGGTGTGAACAAGAGGCTTAGCAGAGAAAGGAACGAGGGGCAGATTCTTTTAGAGTTTATTCCTGAGTCATTCCCCTAACTTTAGTGGGGTTGCTTTACATTTCAATCAGTGCCAGGGCCAGGGCTGAAACAAAAACAGAGGCTTTAGGGCTATAAATGAGGTAAGGCACAATACCAAAATTCTTCAATACCGCCACAGTAACCTATCGCTCTTGCGAGAAAAGGGACAATACAACTTGTTATTATAACCATAACTAATTAGATGTTTTTACATGAACCCTAATAATGTGTTTAAAGGGCAATTCAAAATGAGAATTATCTGTCCATATGCTGACAAAATACATTATAGATCCAAAATAACAGTAAGTTGTGTCATGAGTTGCTTAGATCAGAATTATTAACATAAAATAAAATAGAATATAACATCACACACAAAACAGGAACATGCAGACCAGCAGCATGAAATTATAATGCTCATATTTCCTAATGACACTGCAGGTGTTTCATAATATTCCTGAATTGATTTGCTTATTACAGATGATTGTGGTAATACTTAAAATTGCTCATTGTTTCTTGCAACAAAAAATAAACAGGAAACAAAACATGGAAAGGTAGTAAGCACAAAATCCCTAAGAAAGACTCAACCAATTTTCATCAAGGCAAATGGCTAGATGGAAGAATTTAAGTTTATCCTTACTTGCTGATCTCAACTTGTGAGTCCAGCTATGTAGAAGAGAACAGGGTCTCTTTGCATCACTCTCTATTGAGCAAGTGGTAGGGAGAGGAGAATGAGAAACTCTGGGTCCACTAGCTACCCAGGGTAGCATGGATGGTAGGGAATAAAATGCTCCCTTAAAATAGTATATGGACAGCAGAATAAGAACTATTAAACTCCAAGGATGCAGAATTATGACTTTCTGAGGGAAAATTAACTTTCAGGGTAGAGTGGTATTACTATATCCAGTCCATTAATCAGGGAAAATTTTAAAGTTACAACCCAGCCCGAATGTTCACACCAAATGACTAGTACCACAAACTTAGGAGATCCTTGTGCTGTCTAGGTGCCTTGGTGTCACTCAATCAAAAACTGCCACCTGAGCACTAGAGTTCTAGTTAATAACTGCTAGGAATAACCTGTCCATCCTGTTTAGATTTGCATCCTCTGCTTGAAGATCATTAAAAAAATTCCCCTTTTCACTTGGTGACAGCAGTGGTGCTTTTGTGCTACTCGCTGCTCCTGCACTGTTTACCTCTGGAGAGTAACTAACCTTTTACATTGCCTTCACTCTATATATTTCAGAACAATGACAGTGCCTGATATTTCTGCTGGAGACCTTTTGATAATCATAATGTACTGCTTCTCTCTCTATTCTTTAAGCATCTGTGATTTGTCTACAACCTTCCTTATTCCACTTCCTGCAAAAATTATTTTGATCCATATGCTATAGCGAGACAGAGCCTCTTTCACTGCATCGCCTTACTTGCTTCTCTGGAATACTATCCCTATGTGAATGTCGGCGGTTTTAAAAAAAAAAACAAACAAAAAACTTGCTTTATATGAACAAAGAACTTGTTTTCCTTTCGATGGAATAGTATCTTGTTTCCTCACATACTACTCCCCCCCAATAAAGGCATGCACTTTGGTAAGGCAGAATGAAGAAAAAGAAGTCATGTCTGCACAGAACAGGGACAACACCTAATGTTCAGCTCACTTACACTCCCCTTCCTGCTTAACCAAATGCTGAAACCCTAGCAGCTGTGGATTGGTCTCCATGTGTGGATCTATGATTCTGAAAAGACCTAAAAAGTTTGCAAACAGAAATAAGAGCAGAGAGACCAGGAACAGCTAGCAGACTGAAAAGCTGCCAGAAAAGGTAAGCTTGATTTGTGGACCATCAAGACCATTAAAAGGAGAGGTGATCATTTACATCTATGGAATGAAGAACAACGAGCCATTAAATCAACTGACTCCCTCAGCTATCTGAATAGAAATGCCACCTCTGGAATCAAAGCAAGGTGATTTTATTTGGCAGAAAAATCAGCTTCCCTGCTTAAGACACGCACCCCAATTTTTTTTGGGGGGGGGGGGTGTTATTTTTGAGAAAAAGTGGGTATGCAAAATATACACTAATAAACACTTGGAGATACACATACAGATGCATATCCAGATTGAAGTGCCTGCAATACATGTACCTTACATGGCTCACAAACTTAGTTAACTGAGTTTTACACTCTGCTTCTGTGAGTTTGGGAAACACTATTTCCCAAACTGACAGAAATGTAACACAAGACCGGTTTGCAGGTCCCACAAAATTAATGGGAGAACCATGAATGGCATTCAGATCCTTCTGGAATCTAACTACCACACTGCAATTCTGCCAGGGATGTCCTTTTGCTCCTCATTTGTGAGAATTGCATATTCTCTCTCTTTAAAGGGAATGCAGGATGATCTGATTTGAAGAATGTTTTCGAAAATATACATTCAGCCAGGCCTGCTTTATGCACAATAGGTGGAATTACAAAAAACAAGTTTAAAAATGCAATTCTCTGTCAGTCCAGTATACCAATTCTCATGAGAATTTAGAAGCATTCTTAAAGAATGCAGAGCAAATCTACTTTAGGCTAGATTCTTAATTAATGCACTCCCATACTTAAGATTTAGGAATTTTAATATTACTGTAAAAGTTGTTGGGAACAGATACCACTATGGCTAGAGATTATCCAATATAATATATGTCTGCTGAAGTGTTACAACAATTCCTTGATTTTTACTTAAAAACTGCTATGTTACCATACGGCCCAATCTTGCTGACACTAATATCATTACTTACGTTGGATAATAGCTTACTCCATAAATAACTCCTCCTAAATCAGTGGAACCACTTGAGGAGTAAAATCCTACAACATGTGAGTAAGGTTATCTGTTTCACTGAAATCAATGTCATAATTCTCACAGTTATATATAATTCTCACAGTTCTTTACTGACAACATGTTCAAATCATTAACAGATAGGTGCCAACAGGTGCAGACCAGCACACAGTTCATAGTGACACATCCCCATAAAAAT